AAATTCAATCCCTACTATTAAAAAAAAAAAAACAATGACATGTATACTGAAAAGTTTAAGTATAAATGTCTACAATTTATTTTGACATGGATAAAGAAGATGGCTGGACATGGTGGCACATGCCTGTAATCCCAGTGACTCAGCAGGCTGAGGAAGGAGCAGCACAAATTCAAGGGCAGCCTGAGCAATTTAGCAACAAGACCCTGTTTCTAAACAAAAAATGTAAAAGTCAGGCAACAGAGTTGGTGGTGGAGCATCCCTGGGTTCCAACCCCGGTACCACAAAAACAAAAAGAAAAACTGAGGGATGAATATGTACATGATGGAAGTATGGCAAAATGTCACCAGCAGAATCTAAGTGATGGGTAAAAGGTATGTTGATGATCCAAATTGTATGTATGTTTCAAATTTTTTGTAAAAGATTGCAAGGAAAAATATGCATACTCAACTGTAATGTGCATGTGGATTGTCTGCATTCTGATTCAAAGAAATGACTGGGTGTGCGGGTGTATGCCTCTAATCCCAGCCACTCAAGAGGCTGAGGCAGGATTACAAGCCAGCCTCAGCAACTTTTTAGCAAGACCCTGTCTCAAGAAATAAAAAGGGCTGGAGATGTAGCTGAGTGTAAAGCACCCCTGGTTCAATCCTCAGTACCACCAAAGGAAAAAAAATGTTTTCAAAAATGATAACCGGCTTGGTCACAAGAAATTGTATTTTTATGAAATGAGTTTTTTTTAAGTGCATTCTGAAATATTTACAGGTGAAATAATGCTATCTAAGTTTAAAAATTAATGAGGAGAGGGCTGGGGCTGTAGCTCAGTGGCAGAGCACTTGCTTAGCATGCATGGGGCACTGGGTTCAATTCTTAGCATCACATACAAAAACAAGCAAATAAAGGCATGCTGTCCACCTGCAACTACAAAAAAACCCTACAAAGCCATTAATTTTTAAAAAATTAATGAGGTGGGGGAAAGCCATGTGCAGTGGCAAGCACCTTCAGAACTGGCACATGAGAGGCAGAGGCAGGAGAATCACTCAGGCTCATAAGTCTGGAATCAATTTGGGCAACAATGTGAGACTTGTGGTACTGGGGATTGAACCCAGTGGTACTATAACACTGAGCTACATTCCCCCCACCCCTTTTTCCCCCCAATTTTGAAACAGGGTCTCACTAAATTGCCTTGCCTTGAACTTTCAATTCTCTTGCCTCAGCCCCCAAATAAGTGGGATTAAAGAAAAAAGCCAGACTCAATAGCATATAATCCCACTTCTCAAGAAGTTAAGGCAGAAGGATTGCAAGTTCAAAGCCAGCCTCAACAACTTAGCAAGACTCCATCTCAAAATAAAAAATAAAATGGTTGGGCAATGTAGTCCATAATAAAGAGACCCTGGGTTCAATCCCCACTACCACAAAAAAGAATAAGTGGATGGGGATGAAACCAGGCTACCCATAAACTGATAATCATTGGTGATTTAAATGGGAAGGTGATTATGCTATTCTATTTTTGTATGTTTGAAATTTTCCATAATAAAGGGTTTTTTTTTAATTGGAAGAAGATATAATATAAAGATAGTTCACACTGCACAATCATTAACAAAGAACAAAGCTGGGCACAGTGGCTTACACCTGTAATCCCAGCAGCTCGGGAGGATGAGACAGGAGGATCACAAGTTCAAAGCCAGCCTCAGCAATGGCTAGGCACTAAGCACCTCAGTGAGACCCTGTCTCTAAATAAAATACAAAATAGGGCTAGCTGAGTGCCTGAGTTGAATCAACAGAATCAAAAAAAAAAAAAAAAAGAGTGACGATTTTGTATACTAATATAAAACAACCTTTAAATTGTTCAATTGGGGGGAAAATGCAGACCAGCAATGTCTAATAATTGCTTAAATATATATACAGTATAAGTTTACATTAAAAATTGATGATAGGGTTGCCTGAGAAGGGGAAGTGGCTAAAGTAATAGAATGGGAGGAAGGCTATTCACTGCATACCTTCTCCATCTCTTCATTTTCTTCAAAAAATATAAAGAATTTTAAAATTAGCCCCATTCTTCATTTTCATATCATCAAAGTTTAAGACAGACTGAACATTCCTTTATCCCTTTTATGAAACTCAATAAGAAAACTTACCAAAAAACAGGGCAGAATATCTAAACAGACACTTCACCAAAGATGAAAAAAAGGCAACTAAGTGTATGAAAAGATGTTTATTATTGCACTATGGAAATAACTTCTTTATGGAAATGGAAATCAAAACAATAAGGGTTGGGGCTATGGCTCAGTGGTAGAGCGCTCACCCAGCACACACAAAGCACTGGGTTCAATCCTTAGCACCACATTAAATAAATAAAGGTATTGTGTCCACCTACAGCTTAAAAAAAAACACATTTTTTTAAAAAATGAGATAACACTATACCCCTACTAGAATAGCTTAAATCTAAAACACTTAACTCCACCAAATGCTGGTAAGGATGGGGAGCTACACAAACTCTTGGTGGGAATGAAAAATGGGATAGCCACTTTGGAAGACAGTTTAGCAGTTTCTTACCAAACTAAAATTAATCTCTACCTAGGGAACTGAAAATATGTCTATTAACAAAAAACGATAAATGAACGTCTATAGCAGCTTTATTCTCTTCCTAAAAATTTCAGAGATTATTTTCTAATCTGTTAAACTCAGGAATAGGAACATATTTCTACTACTTGAGAAGTCTTGTTTTATCAAAGCCTCTATTATTTCAACCTCCTTCTACTCTACAGCTGAGGTACACCACTCTACTTTGGTCCTACCAATTGAACGAGGATCCTTTCACATAATGTATGGGAACTCTTCAGGACTATGGAGTGTTTTAAATAATGTGAAGAGGATGTTAACACAGAAGAAAAAAAAATCTCCAAATAAAAACCTACTAACCTACTAGGGATTGTTTAGAAATGCTAACAGAGCATGTTGGCTAATAAGTGGGATCTTTACATACCATGTCACCTRCAGGGAAGTGGTTTTCTTATGCTTCTCCACAGTGCAGTAGTGAAAAGGACATAGAATCTTCTGACCATACCTAACTTGGATGCCATTGCCAACTGGGTATAAAGGAACACTGGCTCAGTTTCAGTGTCCAGAATCAGTGAACACATTACATTGGATCACAATCTTCAGGAATTTTCTCCTTTGTGTTTACATAATCCCTATTAGAGTTTTTCTCCCTTGCACTAACTTAAGAAACAGCTAAACCAAAGCAGGATATGGGGACTCTGACCACAGACTCCAAACCCACCATTTTTGACAGTTTTACAGCAAGGATTATAAAGACATAAGGAAATCACACAGAAGATAGAAATTCACTCATTGCTTCCTTCAAAAGCAAATAATAATGCACAGCCAAGTTTGAACAAAAAATTTTGAGACACAAAAATGTCCTGTGAATGAATAAGACTTTTATTCTGTTATGTGGATCTCCTCTTCTCCTAATAACTACATTTGCCTTATCAATCAATCACTCACTCACTAGCCTAAATTATGAACAAAAACTAATAAGTAGAATATATGAATTCATATGGTGACTTCCCAAAAATGAACCTGTTTTATACTGAGAACTCAGTCTTTAGTGAAGCAAGAAGACATATTCCTTGAATTTACCCATCACACAGTATTTTAATGCTCTTGCTCTCATTCTTTTCCCAAAAAAGTGCAAATGAAACTCATTAGCTGAAGACAAAGTACAAATGAATGAATTCCTCACTAAACCCAATCCCAATAGACTCTACAGGTGTTTTCTAAAGAAAATTAGATACCAGTTATGAATGGGATTGTTCAGACCCTGAACAAATGACATAAGTACGGACACCAGTTCTCACAACTTGGCACATTCAACCACATATGAAAACATTTCTATCTGAGTAGTACATCTGTTAGATTAAGTCATGTACTTACAGGAGAATTTTTTAAAATACAACTGAAAATCATTTCTTCTTACATTAATATACCAGGAATTGCTGTAATAAAATATATAAGCAACTGACTCACATACTCCAATAATAAATACTCTCAGGTAATCTTCAGGCTAAAGTGAGCCTCCATTTATTGACTGCTTACAGTACAGTGATTTTTGTATCTTAGCTGGTAATCAAAGATGGTTATATATTAAGTGAGAGAAAACATCATCTCTCTTCCAGATATCACCTCTCTGAAATCTGGGAAAATTCAATTTTAAGAACTATAACCGCATCTCCTGGTGGCAGCTGTCACCCTGAGAACAGGAACAAGGCAAAGAAAGTATACAGAACTTTGATTCTCCTACACAGGTGCACATAAAGTTA